ATTTCGAGGTTTTTCTATTGTTTTCGCATTTTTTTCTTTCCATTTGTTTGTCATTTCTTTTTTTCTTTGGTTCTTTGTTCACTTTTTGATTTTCGTTTTTTTATTTTTCTTTGTTTCTTTTGGTTTCCATTCTATACTTTTTTTATATGTCAATAACATTTTTCTAATAAACGTTTAACATTTTCCCAATACAAATTCAACACTTTCTCAATACATGGACGACATTTTTATACACATTTTAAACATTTTTCAAATGCTTGATTAAAAAATTCTAATACAAATTTCACATTTTTAATACATGATAAAATATTTTCTATACACATTTTAAGTATTTTCAAAATTCTTTATTAGAACTTTTAAATACTCCCTCAATTCCAAAATATAGTGCGCCCGCGCTTCCCGAGGTCCAACTTTGACCATAAATTTAACCAATGAGGCCGACTATGGCGGGAGAAAAAAATATAATTGAAAACTTCTTTTGAATATGAATTCATTGGTATAACTTTTGCTTCCATCGCGGTCGGACTTGTTGGTTAAATTTATGGTCATAGTTGAAGCACGAAAATAGAGGAAGCACTATATTTTGGAACGGAGGGAGTACAAGATTAACATTATTTGAATACATGGTCAGCATTTTTTCTATACACATTTAAAAAAATAAATGCTTAATTAACATTTTGAAATACAAGATTAATATTATTTCAATACATGGTTAACATTTTTCCTATACACACTATTTAAACATTTTCAAATGCTTGACTAGCATTGTTCAAATACAATATTAGCATTTTTTTAACACATGGTCAACATATTTTCTATACATAATTAACATTTTGTAAATGTTTGATTAACATTTTTCACATACTTGTTCAATATTTTTCAAATGCTTGATTACCATTTTTTTTCAAATACAAGATTAACATTTTTGAATACATGGTCAACATTTTCATATACATATTTAACATCTTTCAAATGCTTGATTAACATTTTTCACGTAATTGTTCAACATTTTTCAAATGCTTGATTGTCATTTTGTGCATATACAAGATTAACATTTTTTTCTATACACATTTAACATTTTCACATACTTTTTCATCGTTTTTCAAATTCTTGATTTTTTTTCAAATACAAGATTAACTTTTTTAATACATGGTCAACATTTGTTCTACACACATTTAACATTTTTCAAATGTTTGATTAACATTTTCCAGATACTCGTTCAACATTTTTTCAAGTGCTTGACTAAAAAATCAAATACAAGATTATAATTTTTTTAATACATGAAAAACATTTTTTTCTATACACATTTAACATTTTTCAAATGCTAGATAAAGATTTTTCACATACTAGGTCTACATTTTCTTCAAATCCTTGATTTACTTTTTGAAATACATGATCTTTTTTTCATACACATTGTTTTTATTCATATACATTTTTTGTATACATGATAAACATTTTCCGTATGCACATTTAACATTTTTTAAATGCTTGCTTAACAATTTTTCTAATGTTTTATGTACAGGTTTTTTTTGTAATATATATTATTATAATATTAGAGAAATAAAAACATTTTTTTAAAAAGCAAAAAAGAAACAGAAAACGTGAAAACCCCAAAAGAAAAACGAGGTTGTAGTCTTGCGTGCGCCTGGCCGGCCCATCTTGGGCTCCCTTCACACGAGGGTTCCCTCTGTCGTGCACTCGGTCGACCCATATGCTCGCCGCCTTCAGCGAGTCGGAAGGCTATTTCGCTATAAGCGAGGCATAGCCGTGCACAAAATTTTCATGCCTTACACACTAGCAGTTTTTTGGCTATGACATCGGTTTTTTAGATTGGACTGCTTTTGCATTTATTTTTTCTTTTCACAGTGGTGTTTGGTAGGTCTAACATTGGGCCCGTTGGGCCGTTGAGTTGGGTTCACATTTTTTTCAGCGAAGGAGTTCATTTGAGAAGGATCTTTTGCATATACCTCTTAAAAGCGAATTAATCTGTGGTTGGATGTTTAGGAGGACAGTGATATTTTCAACCACTAGGGTTCAAGTTCTGGTGCTCGCATTATCCTGAATTTATTTCAGGACTTCCAGCGATGCACGTTCAGTGAGAGAAGACGTTTTCTTTGACTATGAGACGCATGTGATGACTTCTTCAATCCCAAAATAATATGCATTTTTGAAGATGCTCATAGGATAGGATGTCCCTATGTACATAAGGGGTGAGCGCCACGATCCAAGGACCGGGATCCGAATCTCCAAATACCACGGGCGGTTGGCTAGAAAATCACTTCTCTGATACAAGGACGCCATACATCGATCCACTCAAACACTGCTCCTTTTTGGCCCGTCTCCCTCCACTTTACCGCCATCAGTGCTGCACACCCCTTCTCTCCGTCCGTGCGGGTGTGTCCCACGGCGCCCCGCCGCTGATCGTGCACGCCTCGGCTGCCACTGCAGCACGTCAAGTCCATGCAGTTTACCTTACGTACCACTCGCTGATCAAACAGAAGCGCCACGGGCAGGAGAGCAGGGAGGGCCTGGGTTGGGTACCGGTGGTGCCCTTCCATCCGCAGACGCAGCGACCGCCCACAGTTGGCAACTGTGGCTCGCTTTCTCTCCGTGTCTGCCGCCGGTAGCTCGCCGAACCCGAGGTGTCCCGCCCGCCGGGGCCCCTTCGGGGAGTTGTCATTTCGTCTAAACAGCAGTATTATTACTCACGTGCTGCCTTCTGGGAGCAAGGTACTTGCAATGCGATGGCAAAGTGTGTGAGTACGACGATGGAGTTTTCCGTTCGCCGGCGTTTAGAGCATCTCCCAAGAGCAGACCAAAAAACGCAGCTGTTATGAATTCATAGCATTTTGTTTTCCAAACATGGCGGATTTATAAATTTAATAATGTGCACATGGCAATGTTATGATTTTTTTAATCTATCACATGGCAAATTTACACAATTTTGTATGTCTACTTTTCTTTAGGATTTTTGGTTTTTAAAACATAGGCTTTTAGGATTCTGGTCTGCAATTTTGAGAGGATCACCCATGTTCTCAAATTCAAGACCCGCGGCAGCATTCTCACCCTCATCCTGCATAATTATATGTGCATAATCACACAACAAGTCATCACCTCTCACATGGTATCCGAATTACATTGTTTAGCAGGTCCATAAACAACTGCAAAACGTGCCTGCTGAACTTCAAATGCCCTCTCAACATCCTTTCTAGTTGGTTATTGTTGGGCAAAGTGGGATTTTTTCTAACCAATTGGGTTAGAGATGGTGTTAACAAAGGTAGCCCACAGAGGATAGATACCGTCAACCAGATAGCATCCCCTGTTGTACTAATGACCATTGACAGTATAGTGGCAAGGAGCTTTTCCTTCAGTCACCCTAGCAAATAGTAGTGAACGCTGCATCACATTGATGTCCTTGTGAGACCCAGGCATGCCAAAAAAAATGTGTCAAATCCAAAGTCTTGTGATGCAACTGCTTCAAGAATGATGGTGGGCTTCTTAACATGACCCTGATATTGCCATTGTAAAGTTTTTGGGCAGTTCTTCCATTTCTAATGGATACAGTCAAGAGATCCGAGCAAACCTAGCCACCCTCTTACTTCTGAGATTGCCAAGAGCCTCTCGGTGTCTGGCACTGCTGGTTCTCTTAGGTACTGAGGTCCAAACAGCGAGATCACGACAGTTGCAAACCTGATCATGTCATCTCTTCATGTGGTCTCAGACATCCGTAGGTACTCGTGCCACGAATCATCGATTGTTTCATATGCAAGCATCTGCGGTGCGGCCGTGCACTTCTGATAACCAGAGAACTCAATCATTCTCACGACATCCTTTTTCAAGATGAAGTAGTCATCAAAGGACTGGACGTCATGGTAGAGACGATCGGAAACATTTTTGCGCATCCAAAAACACAGGCGAAAAATGTCAACGAGGAGGACATTGGGGGCAAAGTAGCCATCCATCAACGTCAAATGGACGCGTGTTTGGTTGCGGTTGAGCATGCGATGACCCTTGATCGAACCGTTGAAGTTGAGAATATGCTCCTCCGCATGTTCCGCGTCTGCAAGGACTGCTTGCATCACTACCGTCTCATCCGTGTAGTTCTCTTTGTCGGACGAGCCGTTGGTGGACTCAACATAGTACTCATATCCAAATTCATTGCTTCAAAGAAGAAGATACGTTGGCCCCTGCTCGCCCTACCAACGAGGGGCGTGCGCCGTGTGCCAATATTTTGGCGGAGGAATCGGCTGCCCACGCCTATCCAATAAGTTGGTCACGAATTAAATGCTAAAGCTTATTGGTGTTGGGGCGAGCCAAATAATTGGAGCCCATCCAAATGGTTGCCAGCCCTTTGGTCAACGCCAAAGTTTTGGTCGGGCACAACACCAATCCAAACATCCTTTTAGCATGGACATTTTGTCGAAAAGTTGCCAGGCAAGGTGAGTATCGTAGGAGCTGGCGGTACCTGCGCGACGGTTGAAGGAGATGTGAGTATCGTACGAGCTGGCGGTACCTGCGCGACGGTCGAAGGAGATGTGTGGAACGCTGACAGAGAAGCGGCTTGGAGTTAGAGTGTACCGTTAAAGGTGACGGACTCGTCGAGTTCTGCCAGGGGTGTGGCGGGACGGCCGGGATGGTGAGCAGTGGCGAGGACAAGAGAGAAAAAACGAAGAAGAACATGGAGGCGCACGGTTCCAGGTCTACGTGTCTGCTATTCGAACTCCCGCAAAGCCCCAGTTTATCTCGGTTTTTCGTGAAAAAGCATGTCTGAACTGCTCGGCGGATCCAATATAGGCCCTCGATAGATTGCGCAGCACGTCGGAGGGGGCGCTTTGGAAATGAACTTACGGCGACTGATAAACCGCCGTGCTCGAGCCTGAGAGTCAACAGCTTTCTACAACTCTGCTACAAGCCTCGCCGTAGACAAATTAGCATTACAAAACTTTTACAACACACAAGTACGTACATGGGCAGTAACCAACACACGAATCCTGTCAACACTACGCATACCCATTCGGAGGAAAAAAGATGCAGGAGATCACTACCACGCACACTGGGCCGAGCAGGCGAAACCGGAAACTGTCCGTGGAGCCTCTCGCCATCACTCCCCTGGCAGCACTGCTCACCGAGTCACGCGCCAAGGAACCATCACCGCCGCCGCCGCCATGGCAGGCAGCAACGCCGACGCCGACGTCCCGCACGACGTCCAGGCACAGCCCCGAGTTGCCGCTGAGGTCGAGGTTGCGGCCGAGCCGCCGCAGGAACGCGCCGTCGAACGGCACGGCCCCGCCCAGCCCGTTGTTGCTCAGGTTCAGGTGGTATATCCTGTGCAGCCTGCTCAGCCCCGCGGGAATCTCGCCCGTGAGGTTGTTGTCTTCGAGCGAAAGCGTCGTCAGGCTCGCCAGCTGTCCAAACGCCGCCGGTATCGGCCCCGAGTAGCCGGAGCCGGCTAGCCGGAGTTCTTGAAGACGGGCGAGGCTGCCGAGCTCGGACGGCAGCGGGACGCCCATCGGGTTGTTGTCCATGATCAGGTACTGGAGATTCCGGAGAGCGGAGAGGCCAGGAGGGAAGTGCCCATTGAGGCCGTTGTTGCTTAGCGCCAGGAAGGTGAGGGAGGTGAGGTTGGCGACGGTGTCCGGAATGCCGCCGGTGAGGTTGTTGGAGCTCAGGTCCAGCTTCTGCAGCTGGCGCAGGTCGCCGATCCGGCCAGGGATGGGGCCGGACAGCGCGTTGTAGCTGAGGTCGAGGCCGACCAAGCCCTTGAGCTCGCTGATCCGGGTCGGCACCGGCCCGGAGAGGGAGTTGTAGCTGAGGTCGAGGTGCACGAGCGACCTGAGCTCGCCGATGCCCCGCGGGATCTCGCCACGGACGAGGCCGTTCTGGGAGATGGTGAGCACCTGGAGGGACCTGAGCCTGACGAGCTGCGGCGGCATGACGCCGGACAGCGAGGGGTTGGCCCGGATGCTGAGCTGCTGCAGGGTGGAGGACGAGAGGTTGGCGGAAGGGAGGACGAGGGCGGTGACGGCGGCCGGGTTGTTGAAGCAGTTGACGAAGAAGAGGGACTGGAGGCGGGGCAGGGTGAGCACCTGGGGCGGGAAGGCGGCCGCGTCCTTGCACGACGGGTTGGGCTCCACGCCGAAGTCCAGCCGCGTGACGTGCAGCGGCGCCGCGGTGCCCGGCGCCGGCTTGCACTCGAGCCCCGGCCAGGGCGCGCCGCAGGGGTCGGGGCTCTCGGAGCGCCAGTCCCGGTCGGAGGACACGGCGTCCATGACGAGGAACAGCGTCTCCCTCTCCGCCGCGTCCATGGCCGCGGCCGCCGAGAGCAGGCACAGGAAGACCGCGATGGAGGCCGGCATCGTGGCGTCCGTTTTGCTCCGAGGCTATGCGTTTGACGAGCGTGGTTTTCCCGGGGTTTAAGAGCAGCAGGGGTCGCCCGCGTGGGCGACGCAGATGGGGCCAGTGCGCGGTGCGGTGATTGACGTGACGTGACCGGCCATGGGCAGAGAGAGCATCGTGCAGAGAGGTTTGCGTTCGGGACGCCGGGAAGAACCTCGGCCTCGCACGATTTAGCGGTACGAGCAGCGCACAGGAGGCTGCTGTCCGCACAGTGGGAGGCACCAAAGCGCAGTGCACGCAGTGTGGCACGTCATGTTTTCCACAAGGAACCGCGCATATGGTCCTCGCTACCGAAGGACGGGGGCTAGCAGTACTACTACTGTTACACATAAGATAGGCTGACTGGTCAGGCACTAGTTAAGTCGCCGGGTAAAACTGGGTTATCAGGCCAAGTACAAGAGAGAGGGGCCTCAGCGCTGCGAGTTTTGGACGAGTAATACCTGCATGGCATGCCTGCGTGTTGGTGTTCATCCATCAGAAAGGCGTGGTGCTGCTGACACAGCTAGCAGAGAAGGGTACTTAATTTAAGTGTAAGTGACAGAAAGGAAACATGTTTTGTTCGGTCGGCAGAAGTTCATAAGCCATCTCCGCAAATAGCAAACATAGCATTAACAAAAATAATACTCCCTTCGTTTAGAATTACTTGTCATCAAAATGGATGAATATGGATGTATCTAGACTAAAAAACATCTAGATACATCCATTTCAATGACAAGTATTTTCGGACGAGGGAGTACTAGCAGCATCGAAACAAAAGGAACTCAGATAGTCAGACGTAAATATCAAAATCAAAATGCAGTACACCCTTTCTTTCTAAATGTAACACGTTTTGACGCTTCAGCTTAAACTCAGAGGTAGTAGCACTCAAACATTTCAGAAGGCATTAAAGAAGCTCATACTGAGAGTGGCATTTTAGTTAGCTCTCGGCCTCTATGGATGCCGATTTTTTGAAAAATTCAAAATTTCGGTTTCAAAAAAAATTCTGAATTTGCTTGTACAAGTAAACAATGATGTGAGGCGTACATGTGTAAAATTTCGGAATGAAATACGTTAAAATGCGACCTGTACAAAAAAGACAAATCCATGTCTGAAAAGGATAAATAGCATCATGCGTTAAAAAGCCCCAGATTTGTCTTTTTCGCACAACCCTTGTTTCAACGTACTCCCTCCGTCCCAAAATTCTTGTCTTAGATTCGTCTAGATACGGATGTATCTAATACTAAAACGTGACTTGATACATCCGTATTTAGATAAATTTAAGACAAGAATTTTGGGACGGAGGGAGTATTTTGTTCTGAAAATTTACACACTTATGCACTATGCCTTCATCTATCTATGTATTTTTTCCAGTTCTTTTCTGGATTGTAAAAATATGAATTTTCAAGAATTTTAAATTTTGCATTTGGAGTCCTCCATGAGCTCGGACTCCAAAAGCAATTTCTGCTCAATACTCGTGTTTCCAATCGATAGCAACAAACCTAATAAGCAGAAGCAAAAGTAAGAGTCCGATGAGACAGAAAGTCGCACGGTTGCAAGAAAGCACATGCTGGTCTGCTAGAAGTGCATTATCTAGCCCACACAGACCAAGGCGGAGCAAAAGTGAGCTCGTACGAGGCTATGGCCTGTACCATGCGCTCACTCGGGTGTGTGCCGTGACAACACGTCCTGGCCAACGTGACGTAAAGATGTCTGGCTCATCCAATAGTGGGAAGGCGTGCATCCGTGCTTGCCCGCCGTATGGCAGGTCGAGGTGATGGATCAAGTTAGGATTCCCTACAAAAGCAAGACGCCATGTGATGCTTGCAGGCTTGCAGCTGAAGGGACCTGCAACTTCATCATCTTGTGATCATGGATCATAAACCATGCAACTTGTCCAATCACGAGTTTTAACTGGTGTAGAATGATCATTGTTTGGAGTAGTAGCTAGTAGCACGCCAGCCAGCTCAGTATTTCTTGAACATATGATGCTCTGGCAGAGAGTGTTTTACTTCCACAAATCAATGTTACTAAAGGCCTGTTCGGTTCCTCTCCGATCCCTGGACTGCGCCCCCGGAGCGGAGGAAACTGCAGCTTATTTCCACGGAGCAGCTCAAACCGAGCTCCTGGAGCTCCGCGGAGTGGAGCGAACGGGAACAGGCCTTAAGCTAGAATTAGAAGTACAGGAAGATGTGTCACAAAGGAGAAGCACGTGCATCCACTCAATTGCGACTTGAGAGTTCCACAAGCAAATGCCAGCTGCTTATACCGCTAAGAAACTACGAGAGCGGATGCACTGGAGAAAAGTCAGGAAACAAAGATCATGAGCGCCAGCTCACTAGCAGCTGCTGCATTAGAGCAGCCAAAACGGCGCCGGCCGAGATATTGACCACGTTGACAACATCATTGTTCAGCTGCATAGAGAAATATACACTTTTTTTTAGCTTTGTGGGGAACTTCTGGTGTCAACATATAACTATATAATGTGCAGATAATGTGACCCTGAAAAGTAAACCAAAAGAACAGCTTGAATAAGAGTATACATCAATGCGGATGACACTATCCTGGTTACTATTGTTCGGGAGACATGGGTCTACACTAATTCTGTTAACTGAATGTTCCATATCTAATTAGCCCGAGATTTTTACTTGACACACCTAAAAGAAGAGGGATCAAGAGTGCTGTACAGACATCAATGATTCTGGGGTTATTTTTTTTCTCCAAAACCACATGCCCTAGTGAAACAGAAACGTGGATATTAAATTGGTAGATTCTGCACCCGCAAGCCTCGACAATATGCATTTCTGGACTATGCATCAATTGGTACAGCCAATACCAAAAAATAGGCCTATTAATTTATTTATTACAATGGCATTTGCATTATGCCATAGGCTGAAATATCGTTCAGGCCATCATGAACCTACATTACAGAGACACGCACCACTGAATGGGGATTATATGGTGGCAACTACACCATGACATACGCTGAAAAATACCCGCCATCATTTAGGCTACAAACGACCTAGGAATGCATGTTGAGTACAAAGAGAGGATGATTGTCCAAAAGAGATAAATATAGCTGGCACATGCAAGATTCCCCTGTTTGAAAAATTTCACCATAGCATTGGGCAATTTGTGGTTGTTGTGACGGCTGTACTTATTTTTCATAGCTCTCAGTATTACAATGTTTGCTAAATCGAATTAAAGTTATGCTATTCCATAATTGTCTTCTCACATTTGATCTAGTGAGTTTCAGAGTGCAATAATATATTTATTAGCAACTAGATTAAGAACAATCTAGCCAGCCCAAACACTCAGATTCCAAAAGGAGTCCAACCAAATAAGATTATCACAATCCATCACAATGCCAAAAGGAGACTTTGCCTAGTTACTCACAGTGTTCAGGCAGGCCAACTTGGTGATGCAAATATGAGGCTAAACTTTCAACAACAAGAGTATAACAGAACACAAAAGGCAAACACAGCTTTACTAGGGAAACTAAGGCCTTTTTTGGATTGCAGGGATAGGAAAAATGTAAGACAGATTGATGTCAACTACTATGAATTCCTACAGGATTTCGAAAAACATGAATTTTATAAGAGATGTCTTTGGATGGTGCACAGGTAATAAACACAAGAATTTTAGAGGATTGAGAGAGAGTAGAGAGAATGAGTGCACCTGCATTGGACTTCTCAAAGGAAAAAATAAAATGAGGTTTGAGTTCATGCTGTAATTCCTATGGAATGGAGTGTATAGGAATGGATTCCATAGAAATTTGGTGAACCGATTCTTATGATCCAAAGGCCTTCTATAGAAAAAAAAACCTATCTCTTAACAACAATATATATAAAGCATCAGCATTCAGCATCCGAAAGTTTAGGCTCACCCATTCAAAACCTTCCTTATCCTGCAGCGTTGCGCCAATCAAACTCTCGCCAAAATTTGCAATCTGGGATGCAAGAACACATAGCACACCCTGTGGTAGATTTACCTGTAAAGCAAATCATTTTTCTTTTTTTTTTCAATAACCATATTCCTGAGTTACAGTCCAAGGTAAAAAAAAGTACAATAATTACTGCCACTTCCATATCAATATTTTGATTACTATCCTCCTAGATGCAAATGCAAGGAGCTTAACATTGCAGGTCGTATGCTCCCAACATTGCTCTAATATGTGTTCTAGCCATTGACACTATCAGATTATAAGAGCATGAGATAGTAGGCATATAAACAACATGACACATGCAAGTCTAATTAAAGGACAGACCCAGTGCATAGAAGCTCCCACACAAGGTGGGGTCTGGGGAGGGATTATAGGAACCTAGTCTTACCCCTGCAAAGTGCAATGCAGAGAGGCTGGTTCGAACCCAGGACCTCTTGGCACAAGTGGGGAGGACTTCACCACTGCGCCAGGCCTGCCCTCACATGCAAGTCTAATTACAGTTAAATAACTGGAGAAGATGTCCATAGTACATAATTTTAAAAATTGTTTACCTGCCCCAAAATATAACCAATCCCTGCCAGAAATGTTGATGCTACAATTCCAGCAAGAGTGCCCTCAACACTGACTGCACCTTCTGTACCTCTTGGAACAATCTTAAATGTTGTCACTAGGTAACTACTCTACAAAAAGAACAGAACTGAGCTCTAAGTATGATATTGAAGCTTTAACAATTAGTACAGTTTATTAAGTTTGCACAGGTAAGCACCAAATAGACCATCAACTATCTAAAGGTCATGCAAATAGAGTGGTAAATGACCAGGACCTTACGTTGTTCTTCCATATGCCTTCCCTATTTCACTGGAAACTGTATCACTGAGTTTAGTACAGAAACTTGCAACAAAGCCAAGTGTCCAGAGTTCCGCGAATGCTCCCCCGCCCACATTATATACTGATAGGAGAGCACAGACACAACCAGCAGCACTAGAACCAATAACACTACCAGGACCTCTCCTTCCTCCTTTTTTCTCAGCCACTCCCAAA